TTTTTGCACTTTTGTGGCGCAGATCTTCGCAACAGGTAGTGATTGCTGCAATAAAGCGGTTTTTCAGCGGTCATTTTAAGACTAAACTGCTCCATAACGACCATGACAATTCCTCAATTCTTAGATTTGCTTGTACTATTCAGATCACACTTCCGTTCTCATTGTTGTTGATATATCCATCCACGCTAGTGAGCCTGGAACAGGCCCTGGAGCCTCTTCGTACTAAAGGGATTACCTCCTATCCTTATGATCAAATCAGCCTAGCACCACCGTTAATTGACTTGACGCTCAAGTCGCGACTAGTCGCGCGCGAGCATCGGCTCCACCGAATTCGTTAGGCCCTCGCTCTCAATGTGATGCACATTCTCGATAAAATAGACACATAGACGTCAGTGCAAATGTGTGCTCTTAAGCTACTTAAAAAATGGCGTAGACATTCCCCGGGGACGTTTCAATGTCCGGCGTAAATCGATCGCATGTTAAGTGTCGGAACGCTTAATTGATGTGTATTCATGTCGTTTAGTTCGACCGACACCACCGAAACTTCAGAAGACAGGCCACTTTATGAATGCTGTGGCTGGAGAGAATGTGTTACAATCGTGCCTGTCCAGGAAAGGTACCCAAAACTCATGATATCTGTGAAAGTCAGACAAAAATGAAGCTCCGAACGCTTCAGGTAAACCTCCACCAAGACTTGGATGGGCTTTAAGCTATGACGCTGAATGCCGAAATATTTCGGCATGGCTCGGTGAAACCCGTGTGAAGTTTTCTCACCTGTTCAGTAAGTCTGCTACCTTATCGGATCTTCAAATAAAAAACTTTGAATGGTTTTAGAAAACACGATAGCGACACAGGAGTCTCTACAAGCAGAGATCGAAGAGGAGATTCAAAAGGACGGCCACGGTTATATAGTTTCTAGTAATATCAGGTGAGTCACAATTTTTTTTGCAAATTCAACCAAAAATGGCGAGAAATGAAGGTTTTTTGAAAAGAATTTACCAACTCATTTATATCGCTTTTGTATCATTAATTGCGAAGCAGAACAACGAATTCATAAATTATCTACATTATAAACTCTATTTTGTACCAGTTGACCTCGCTCCAGACCTTTCTCACTGAGACTATGGCTTACCACTGATGGATGTTCTCACTCTAATTCTAATCTCAATGTGGCCCCGATAAGCCCTTTGCTGCTCCCACTGGCGTAGAGTGATTAAGATATCATGAGAAGGGGTGAAGAATAACTTTGCTGAGTTTCATTGAGCAATTTATCGTTTAGCTACATAGGCCGTATGCTGGAAAAAAATTTAGGGATTTTTCAAAGATTTTTCGACCAAAGTGACATAATGGAAAATTATGATTTCAGTTCCATGATCTGCTCATTGACATATTCCAAACAAATCAGTCGCATCTCATGCCAAAAAATGTAGTAGGTGAAGGTTAAATCATATATAACAACTGCTGGAATCCTTAATCCTCTCGAGCCAGTTTTTTTTTTTTCAATTTACGAGGAAAGAGATGGTATATTGGTATTTTCTGATACAAAAAAA